CGCCCCAAGCTTTGCATATTTAATTATTCCATTTAAATAATCTTCATATTTAAGGTCCTGCATCTACATTTTCCTTTTTATAATGCAGTTGAAATAAAATCAAAGTTATTAGTCAGCATTGTTCTCAATATTGTTGTGTTTACACTTCCAATCCAGCTGTTAAACTTGACATACCTCTATATTTCTCACATTGTCTGCTTTCTTCTAGTGATGATAAAACAACCCAATATGAGAGCAATGTATACCAGTTCAATTAAAATGTTATAATAGTTACAAACTGGAAAAAAATGTCAGATCATTACCTTTCCAAAAACTACCCTGCACATTCATAAACGAAACTCAGTTGAGTCTTGACAATTTGCTGATCCAGATAAAACATTGCAGTTCTTCACAACTAACTGTGCTTTCTATTAATATACAATTAAACTGTACACTGTTAACATCCCGATACAATGTTGATCGTATTAACCATCTTATATCAGAAAGTTTAATGAGATCCCCAAAGCCAGCTACCTAATTTGCAGGGCCCAGGGCAAAATGAAAATGTGGCACCCTGCCTCAACATGGGTAAGTCAATTCCCCCTTTCCAAGAGCCCAGACACCTCAACCCACCACCTCAACCCATGTGGGACAGGTGACCACAGGTGGAGTGTGACAACTGTCACGGGACAGGGGCAGAAATGGGGAAGCCAAGTGACCCAGGGCACAAAGGGGTGGTAGGGAGTGGGTGACAGAGAACTGTCTCAGGGAAGCAGGGAGGGAATGGGAGGCAGTAACATACCCGAGCCCCGGCTCTGAGCCCCCAGTGCATGCTCCATTGTCCTATCTGACTTCATGTTCAAAACACAAATTCACAAAGACAAAACTAGGAATTTCAAGATAGTGACCACAGAGCCTTAAATTCCCAGCATGGGGATCCTTCTAAGTGGGAGTCCCTGAACAACCCTACTGGTTGCACACCCTGAAGCCAGCCCTGGAGTTGCTAGTGAGCAAAATCCGCAAATAACCCATTTCCGGCCAGCAACCACTCCCATCACACAGCCAGTCTTCAAGCAGCCAGTCATGATAGCGACAGGGTTTCTCACAGGATGCAGAATATCTGATGCTCTCTCATAGTCTATGCTTTTTCCTTCTTTCTGGTCCTGACCCACATGTCATGTCTAAGTGCTTGTCTTTTTCAAGGTTCATCTTCCTGAGATGGGAAGGCTCAGGAAGGCAGCCTGGGATGGCAGCAAAAATGGGAGAGCAGTCAGACAACCCTGGCTGGCCCCTCTCACGTTCCCTACCTTAGGTACCTCCCTTCCTCTCTCTGGGCCTCTGCCTCCGTATTATGAAATTCCTCGTGTCATAATTTTGGCTTCCTTATTATTAATTACCAGTGGAAGGGTTAGACTAGGTGACCTTCCAGCTCTGTTTCCAGCAGGTGACCTCGAGGGAAGGCTTAGACTAGGTGACCTTCCAGCTCTGTTTCTGGAAGGAGACAACACAAATGGGTGTTTGGCAAAAGGCTTTTGACCTCTTGACTGTTTTGTCTTCATCTTTATTGGACTTGTTGTAATCAATATACTTTGATTCATCAAAGCCATATCTGAGCTGCTTGGTGTGATGTTGTTGCTGCATAAGAGCCGAAAGAAAAGAGACGTGAGTAATGTGGATGTGTGTAGGCAAAGGGAACCCTCCTTTATTTAAGGCCTAGCAGCAGATGGGTTAATTCCATGACCCCAGATTTTAGAAGAGCAGTAATTAGTACCTGAGACGAGCTCTTTTATCTAAGGTGCTCAAAGGGCTTTGTGGTCATTAACCCATTAATGCACCTGCCTCAAGCCATCAGGAGGTCAGGAAGAAATCTCCTTAGAAGACAAGCATGCCAGAAATGGAAACATCACCACAGTGAGGAGTGGCCATGAGTAACTAGCTGGAAGGACGGAGGAGGGGAAGGGGTCACCAGAACGGTTCTCTTGGAAGAATTAAATGGAAAATCCTCTGCTGTTCTACAGACAGCAGTTTAACCACTCACTAGGCTCTGAGTGAATTCTCATGGATGTCACATTTCATCATCTATTTGGAAAATCTCTTTACCCTTAATGTAAACCTTAGATTAGCTTTTACAGCTTCTGACAAACCACAATTATGCCTAAAGCAAGTAAAGGAGAGGACTCTCCTCCCTAAAATATTCTTCTCTCAAAGGGGGAAAAAAATGGCTCTTTAAAGTGGAGGACTCTCTAAAGATAGAACACCACTTCAGAATGAATTTGTCTGGGGTTTGTTAAGGTCCTGACTTATTTGCAGGTGGTTTCCATTAAAAAGCGTCTGTTGAGGGGCACCTGGGTGGCTCAGTCGTTAAGCGTCTGCCTTCGGCTCGGGTCATGATCCCAGGATCCTGGGATCGAGCCCCGCATCGGGCTCCCTGCTCGGCGGGAAGCCTGCTTCTCCTTCTCCCACTCCCCCTGCTTGTGTTCCTGCTCTCGCTATCTCTCTCTCTGTCAAATAAATAAATAAAATATTTAAAAAAAAAAAGCGTCTGTTGAAAAACCACACTGCTAAAACATACCTTCACAAGGCCTGGAATTCGGTCATTAGACCCCCTCCTTCAACTGAACAGTCCACCCATCACCCAGGAGGTGCTCCCCTGGGGGCCAGGTGCTATGAGGGCATAAAATGTGGAACCTGACCCTCCCCCCACAAGCAGCTATAAATCGAATCAAGGGGATGAGGCTAATACAAATAAAATAAATTAGTAAATTCACTACTTATTACTATTTTAATTCATTTATTAATTTATTAAAAATTAATTGATGCAAATAAAATGGGCAGAAAATATTATTTCCATAATTGTGAACAGCACAGACCCAACATGCAGTGGAGGTGGTTGGAGGAGGTAATCGGTGAGGGCTGCAGAGATCAGGGGAGGCAGGAGAGCTCACAGAGGAGATAAGAGCTAAATCTTGGAGGTAAGGGAAGTATTTGGTTAGGAAACGGGATCAGTGAGAATAAAGCAAAAGGCAATTCAGGCCATGGACAACGTCTAAGAGAAGGTAAGCAGATGGCAACTTAGTTTCTTTATGATGCAGTAGGAAAACCAACCTGGATAAACCATAGGGCCAGGAGACCTGAAAGAAATACGGTGGATGAGAAAGATAAGGCCAGATCACAGGGGTAACTTGAAACCAGACTAACAGGTACTGGTTTGGGGTATCTGGAAGTCTTCTGTCAAAATGCAAATATCCAGGAAAAACCAAGGAGTAAATTGGGGTGGGGGGTGTGGGGGTGCAGTCAGTACAGACCAAACACGACTATGGGCTCTATCATACGCTGTAGCAGGAGAAACAGAATTTGTTATACCAATATCAGCTGGTAAATTCAACTGTGAGTTCCATCTTGGGCCCTGGGAGGGATGCCCCAATGGAATGAAACCCAGAACAACTGCATTCTGACCGGGATGAGGAGAGGAAGGATAAAAGGAAATTACACCAGAGCCTCCAGCATTACCAGGAAGGGCTGGTCCAGGTAGGGGCCCACACCTGATGGACAGCCAAAGCCTGAGAAAAGACTTCCAATGGAGAGGGAAAGGGAGTAGAAGAGAAGACAAATTTCCCCTAACTCACAATTTTGCCAACTACTGGCCCTTCTAGTGCACGTGACCCTTCTTTATGGCCCAGTAAAATTCTTATTCCTTTGTTGAACGGATGCTTTTTTGGCTCTCACAATCAAAAATCGAGCTGTAGGGAAGACTCCAGAGAGGGCTCTTTAGGGAGTAGGTCAGAAGAAGAATGAAGTGTCCCCATGTAAGGCCAACTGAGGGCCTCTTGAAGCTTCCTAAACACAGTGGAGTCTATGGAGAGGAAGCAGTCTTCCCTAAAGTCACCTTCAGGACCCCCTAAGGCCAAGGTGACTCTGGTCAGCAATGGAATAGAAAATAATTGTTCTCACCAAAGAAACCTCTGTAGAAAAGTTGCTGGGAAACTGGAATAGGTGTGTCTTTCTGACCTTCCGGTTCTTTTTATAGGCCTTGCAGGAACCTGAGTGAGGGCCTCCACTCCTTCCGCCCATTTGGGGAGAGATTAAAGAAGCTGAGATTGTCTCCTTCTTACTCATTGGCAGTTACAACCTCGCAGCCAGCAGAGCCTCAACTTCCAGTGTGGACACAGAGAAGGTAAGTCGGAAAGAAGGGGCCATGCCCGTAGCTATAAACCCGGATGGCTCCAGCCATCTGGCTTGGGAATAACTGAAGAGGAATCGAGCTAGGAGTATTCAGTTGCAAGGTACTTTTTTTCCTCACAAATAGGTGGGATTTTTTCCCTAGGCAACCTCAGGGAAGACATAGATTTTGGTGCTCAACTGTTGAAAAAGTTATCTGAAGGCAGGAATAATTTTGTATAATTCTTTGATGAACAAAGAGTAGATATTTAGCAATAACATGTTGAAAAAGTTATCTGAAGGCAGGAATAATTTTGTATAATTCTTTGATGAACAAAGAGTAGATATTTAGCAATAACATGTTGTGTTGGATTGACTTAGATTAAAAGAAGGAACAGCCATTACAACTGCAAGGAAAAATGATCTGCCTGTCTCCTTCAGGCAGTGCGGCAGGTGTCTTGAATGATCCAACGATCCATTAATGTTGACAACCTTTGCTCTGGAGTCTGATATAACCGGAATCTCGTCGACCGGGCAAACGTTGTCACACACCCCATTTTATGAAAAAGATTCTGCCTTGGGTTTCAAAAAGCCTTGATATAGACTGTGACATGAAAATAAATGATGTATCTGGAATCTTCAGGTGAAGAGTATTCTGCTTTTCCTGGCAAGACAGAGCTAGGAGAGTTTTAAGGGTTTGATAGCTTGGGGCTCTTTCATATTTGGGAATGAGAGACATTATGGTGCCCCCACAGGACTAGCCAACAGGCATTCCTGTGTAAGGATGTAGTCAGAAGTTTGTCTCATCTTTCTTTTGCAGGGAAACAGAAGTCCATTCTCGTGAGGTCCACCCACAAGTCACCATGTATGAGGACTGTGTCAAGTCCACTGAGGACTATTATTTCGTCTGTGACAACGAGGGAGCATGGGGCATTGTTCTCGAGTCCCTGGCAATAATCGGCATAGTAGTTACAATTATACTACTCTTGGCATTTCTCTTCCTCATGCGAAGGGTTCAAGACTACAGCCTGTGGAATACCCTCCCCACTCAGTTCCTCTTCCTCTTGGGTGTGCTGGGCCTCTTTAGCCTCTCATTTGCCTTCATTGCTCAGTTCAATCAGCAAACTGCCCCCGTACGCTACTTTCTCTTTGGGGTTCTCTTCGCTCTCTGTTTTTCATGCCTCTTGGCTCATGCCTCCAACCTGGTGAAGCTTGTCCGGGGTAGAGTCTCCTTCTGTTGGACAACAATTCTGTGCATCGCTATTGGTGTCAGCTTGTTGCAGGTAATCATTGCCATTGAGTACGTGACTCTCATGATGACCAGAGGTATGATGTTTATGCATATGACACCCTGCCAGCTCAACGTGGACTTCGTTGTACTCCTGGTCTATGTCCTCTTTCTGATGGCCCTCACGTTCTTTGTCTCCAAAGCCACTTTCTGTGGCCCATGTGAGAACTGGAAGCAACATGGAAGGCTCATCTTCGTCACTGTGCTCATCTCCATCATTATCTGGGTGGTGTGGATCTCCATGCTCCTGAGAGGCAACCCACAGCTCCAGCGGCAGCCCCAGTGGGATGACCCCGTCATCTGTATTGCCCTGGTCACCAATGCATGGGTTTTCCTGCTGCTGTACATCATACCCGAGCTCTGCATTCTCTACAGATCGAGCAAGCAGAACTGCCCTTTACCAGGCAACACCTGCCCAGCCCCAGCCTATCAGTGCAACTTCAGAGTGGAGAACCAGGAACTCTCACGAGGTACTTTCCCAGGGGACTCGGGGAGCAGGGAGGCTCTCCTGTGGGAGAAACAGGAGAGAAATCAAGAAACAGGATAAAACAAGAGGGAGCAATAAGGGAAGGGTCACAATTTAGGTGGGTGACTTAAGAGCTCTGGCGTGGAGATAAAGACGCCCAGAATCAATGTTAAACTTTTATGAGAAATCGGTGCTTCCAAATACAGAGATTTGTGGGGAAGAGGCCAAGACAGAAATGAATCAAAAGCCCTAAATAAAGAGGGTGTGGCTCTGAGTGCTCACGCTGGGTAAAGAAAGGCACCCCCTATAAAGTGAGTTAACCAGCCCCAAATTAGGCTTGGACCATGCAATTGCATGACATATGATGCTAAGTCCCGATGTTTTGGCTGTCGAGGGCACAAGTCAATCCCGGCAAAGGTGATTGACCTTTCTTTTTTTTTTTTTAATTTAAGTCTTGAAGTTAATTTGCCCAAACATCATAGTAAACTGATTCATAGGACTCATCACCTCATTAACATCACAAAGCCCCAATAACTTCTGGATTTCTACTTTTCAAACCATTCACTCACTGCTTGAAAGCCTTCAAGGTTTACAAAAAGTGCCAGGAAGAGCCATTGAATCAGAATTCTAATAAAGGCTCAGATGTGTCATCATTAATAGAAATAAAGCAACTTGCTTATGTGACATTTTCATAAAAATTTCTGGTCAGATTTTTATCGTTATGTAAGACCAAGCCACCTGACTATACTTTGCTAATGAATAAAATATATTAACCATGACAACAAAAATGCTTGGGCCCTAACAACCTGGGGGAAATAGTGGCTAATTCCGGTTATCTAGAAATATGTCAAAACACATTCATTCCTTTCTGAAACATCTGGCCTATTATTCATAACCCAATATCATAGTTTTACATCAATTTTTATGTCTTAATAGGCATCTGATTCCTCACAATTTATTTCTAATGTGCAAAAATTATGTTATTTTATATATTGTATAGCACACATAATGTTCACCAGGCTCAAAAAAATTAATAGAAGCCTTCCCTTTAAGTGCATACACGTTTTTGAGCTGTAGTCTATGGCTAATTACACATTCAAATTAAATGCTGTTCAGATAGATGCATCCATTAATTCTTTACAGTGCAGTTGACAGAGAGTCGGAAATTGACGCTCTACATCCTTCCTATAACAGTTTTTCTTTGCTTGTTGATGCTTTTTCATCAGATCACTAAGGTTTGTGGCAGAATTGCAGAGTCGATCCCGGAAACTACTTCTCAAAGTTCTCATCAGCAGATAGGATAAAACTTCTTGTGTCTGTTTTATTGTTGTCGTATGTTTCCAGGAAAGAAAAGTCAGAAAGAGAGAGAGGAGTTCTCAGAGTTTTATAATACCCCAAACACACCGGGATTTGTAACCATCAATATTCCATACCCCCGAACACAAGTGTTTCAAGTGTTCTTAGGAATGTCTTGGTGGCAGAGCAAGGGCGTGCAAAAGCACGTTTCCTGGTGCTATCCTTGTTGCTCGTGCGTGGTTAGAAAACCCATTTCTGAGCAGGAAATGGCCTGTCAGTGACAGTCATTGTCAATGTAGTTAGATGTTTTACTAAAAAAAAAAAAAATCAATAATGAGTAAAGAACATGCAGATTGCTCTCCAAATTGGGCAGGATAACCAGAAACTTAAACTTGGATAACAGAATCAGAATTTAAGTTACCTGGGAAAAATGCAAATATCCAAAATTAGAAGAATGATTAACACTCAGTACAAAATACAGGATTACGCCAAGCTCGGAAAAACATACAACACAAGACAGATAAGAGCCAGACAAGTAGAGTGTGATAACAGGAACCTATAAAACCCTAAGTGTGTCCTGTAGGTCACAAGCTGGCAAGAGGAAAGCAGCTTACCACTGTCTTTGTTTTCATTGGCTCAAAAAACAGTCACAGTACCGTATCAACACACATGTGGTCAGCAAGAACAATCAGGCCATTGTAATCGGCATTGGTCAGTCTCCAAGGAGAATACCCATTCCAGTTCTGGGATCCGCCAGTGAGAAGTGTGGGGAACTTGGGGAGGCTAAGGGAGAACCACAAAGCTAACTAAAGAGTTATAACATCCGACCAATGTGGAAAGGTTAAGACAATGAAACAGGTGGTAGTTTGTAATGTGCCTTCGTCATAGACTATTCAAGTTCTCTCTCTAAATTCTGTACCAAACATGACATTTTGTTCGAGTCCATGAGGCATGCATTTGTCATGTGACTCTTCTGATGAATACTGCTTGTAGCTGTGACTCCGGTCACATAGTTATTTGATTTACCACTGGGTTGTGGGACCAGAATTATTCATCTGAAAGAGTAAGACAAGTGGAGTTTAGCAGGGAATTTCAAGTATGAAGACCTCTCTCAAAGAAGCTGTTGTCCTGTTGCCTTCTGTTTCCAACTAAAGACAACACGTAGAAATAACTCAAACCAAAGCATGAAGGATTTAGATTAAAAGTGAAAATAAGAGTTGGTAAGCAGTGAAATAGATCTGCAAAGGGGATTAAGGACTCCATTTCCCTGTGAGTCTTTCAAAAGAAGATTAGGCTTCATCTCCCTGAAGTGGCTTATGGACTTAATTCCAAAATCTAAAAACATCCGGGTGGAGAATGAAAATGCATTCAGGCATGTTACTACAGGACCCCAAACAAATGGGCATAAATATTCTTTGCCCTCTATTATAAATGCGTTCCTAGAAAGCTGTATATTGATTGCACTTTTTTATTTTTTTTTTCCATTCAGTACGAGCCCTCTTTAATACCCATCACCAGACTAACCCATCCTCCCACCCCCCCTCCCCACTAGAACCCTCAGTTTGTTTTTCAGAGTCCATCGTCTCTCATGGTTCGTCTCCCCCTCTGATTTCCCCCCCTTCATTTCCCTTCCTACTATCTTCTTTTTTTTTTTTTAAACATATAATGTATTATTTGTTTCAGAGGTACAGGTCTATGATTGACTGCACTTTTTAAAAAATCAGTTGCCTTTTTAACTGAGAATTTTAAGTGCAATATAATTTGTGGAGATCTTACATATGGAATATCAGCCACAGTTCTCTGTTTTTACGGAGGGAAAGCTCCTGTTCAGATTATCGCTTACTTTATCTGCTTTAGTGTACTTAGGATGTTGTTATGTCAAGTTTACTAAAAGCAAGACTCATGTATATTTTAAACTATCACATTGCTATGGGCATTTTTTTCTGTCCATTGTTTGAAGGTATACAGACAAACCTAGTATGATTCTTTTTGAAGGTATTAAGACAAAAATAACAAGTCTAGGCAGTGTAAATGGGGGTCAATAACTATAAAATGATGTGAACCAAGAGAATGTTCTTGCAAACTTAGGTCCATCAGGTTATTTTCATTATAGCAAATGCCAGGTGATATATATATATATATGTACATATATATATATGTGTGTGTATATATATATATATATGTAAAGGAATTTTTTAATTTATTTATTTGAAAGAGAGAGAGAGCATGAACAGGGGGAGGGGCAGAGGGATAAGCAAACTCCCCGCTGAGCAGGGAGCCCAACAAGGGACTTGACAGGACCCTGGGATCATGACCTGAGCTGTAGGCAGACTCTCAACCGACTGAGCCACCCAGGTGCCCCGCAAATACTAGCTTTTGCTGGACAGCCTTTTTTGACAATTCTCAGTAATTTTTTTCTTCAAGGCACCCCCCCCTTCCTAGAAGAAACCCAATTTCAATGGTCCCAAGCAGTGTAATTTTTGTTTGTTCTTTTGCAGGAACAAATCAAAAAAACTGCTGTTTTATTACCCTCAGGAGCTACAGGTTACAGAGAGAAGTGGCATAAAGTAGGGAAGAAGACAGTGAGTCTGTGCAGGACTTGTTTGGTCTGAGGACAGATAAGGCAAACGTTCAACATTCCTAAAGATGCAGGGAGCGTGAGGTAATTGGGCAGCGCGGGGCAGCAGAAAGAATGCAGAATCTGGGTGCCTGGGCTTTAAGGCTCAGATCTACCTCCTGCCAACTTTGAGGCCAAACCAAGCTCCTTAACCTCTAGGAGCTCAGGCTCCTTGTCTTTAAATGATGGTTATAATGTCCCCACCTCCTCCCTGTATAAATGGAAGGTCTTCCTTACTCAACTCGGATTTCATACCATGAGGTGGTTGCAGGATTAATAGAAACAGCCTTTTGGTAAATCCATGAGCAACAACTAGTGCTGGAGAATTCTGGAGAAGGAGGCTTCTCTAATTTATGATCTGGTCTGATGAGAATGTTGGGTGAATGTTGGTCACCGAGGAGCTGAGCATGAAGGAGTCTCATTATGCCTCAAGGAACAAAGTTAAGCCAAGAATTCAGTTCATTCTGCCATGAAGGAAGGAAGGGCATTTCATATTTCACAGGATCCAATCCTCTAAAAAATACCAGTAGGAGGATGATGTCAAAGCATCAGTTATGACCACACCACCGGCACCCCCGTGGATGTTAATATGCAAAGTACAGCATTATGGTGTTTTCTGTACATCATGCCCTATTCGAAGGGCCTTATATGTATTGATTGACTTAATCTTCAAGACAAGACTGTGAAAAGATTTACTATTATGATCATCATTATCCCTCTTTTATTCCCATCAGGAAACAAAGGCAACCAAAGGTTAAGGAACGGGGCCCTAGGTCACACGGCTAGCAAGTGAGAGAGCCACTAAGTGTGAACACTCGGGGCGCAGCCACATCTGTGACCATCAAACAACGAATATGTATGGAGCGAGGGCCTGGCCTTAGAGCAGACTTGGCTCCTGTCTTCATAGAGCCTGCAGTCTTGTCAAGGAGCTTGACATTAAACAAATAACTGTGCATGTGATTATTCTATGACAGGAGAAAATGGTGTCTAGGGATCTTTTTTATTATGTCTGGTTTTTTTAGGCTGAACCAAAGCTTGCAGAGTATCAAGCTTGAAGGGACTTTAGAGGTGATCTAGGTAAGGCCTTTTATTTTCCTGTGGAGGACAGTGAGGTACGCAAGGTCACACAGGTAATACTAAGGGCGCAAAGACCTTGACCCACTGCAAGCAGCACTCTTTCTCTAGAAGGTGATGACCAATGTTCAGCCTCTTCAGTCACTAACCACAGATGTGCCTCTCCTGAAAACACAGACGTTACCCATAGCCAACCTTCCTCATAAGCTTTAAAAACACTTTTTTAAAATCATAGATTAAAAAAAAAAAAAAAACAGCCTCAACTGAGAATTCCTCTTTAAAGGGTCAAGAGCCTCTTTGCAAGCCCTGGGGTCTTCTCATAGTCCTCGTGTGCTGTTTCCAGGTGAATCTCTGACACTAACCCAGCACTTCCCATCTTTGGCTTTCAGCCCGAGACAGTGATGGAGCTGAGGAGGATGTAGCATTAACTTCATATGGTACCCCCATTCAGCTGCAGGTAAATGTGCTCATCTATGATCACCAAGGAGGGACAGAGCGAGTACTCCTTCCTTAGGAGAGCTGTCAGGCTTCATTTCCAATGTCTGTACTGACCTGAGAGAGGAGAGGTAGGGCAGGCTCATCCCCACAAACACGTGGAGTTTGAGCCATCCAGATATAATCTGTCCCGGGGCAGGACAATAAAGGCAAGTCCTGCCTTTGCCTTTGCCCAAGCCCCTCCTAATCCCATAGCCACGCCATCAACAAGGTACTCTGCTACAGGTGAATGTCGCTGGAAAGAAAAGGCAGCTCGAAATGTTGGTGTGAATGTGAAGAGGAACAGGCTCACTGCTTTTTGCCTTGGGGACAACAGGGAATTGTAAATATGTATGAGGTCAGATCTGTTTTTAGTATCTACCAGTTGTCTAAATGAATCCCCTGAGCCCCGCTGGCTGCCTCTCTGAGTCACAGTCTAGCTCCTGCAGCCCAAGCTGCCCCTGCGAACTGGGCTAGCTCTGTCCCCCTCATCACCAGATGGGTGTAACCCAATTTTAATCCTTTCAGGCAAAAGCAGAAGGAGCACAACTGAGCAGAATTGGAGGTGACGCATTTGCGTCTGATGGCTTGAAGGCATACAGATGCAGACAGCCGAAAATATCGCACTGGGACACAATTCTTATATTCTGGTTCCCATAACTAAAATCTGAGGGTGAAAGTCATGCTCAGACTGGTTGGTCAGTGAACCGTACAAGGCAACTCTAGCTAACCCCCTCTGGTCTGTTACCTGAGACTTGGCCTCTTCCTGGAAGGATGGCTCACAGACCAGGACAGAGATATATCATTTGCTGTAATTAACCCTCTGGAGGGCATTAACAGGATGAGAAAATCTTTATCATCCGCTCCAAGAATTTCTTGGATTACTTCAATTTCCAGTGATCAGCTATTCAAGAATCTTGCAGAAAGATCCTTGTTACTGGTTAAGAGGGAAGATGGTGAAAAACAAAAAAGTTTTGATGTGGGTAGCCTCCATACTTTTTTTCTTTTATTAACAAAGGATTAAGTGATGCTGAAATGATATTTCAAACATAGCTCTGGAGAGTATCATCCCTTGCGTTGGCTCAGGAAATTGACAATGGCCTTTCTTCTTTTCCAGACTGTTGATCCCACACAAGAGTGTTTCATCCCACCGGCTAAACCAAGCCCCCAGCAAGATGCAGAAATGTAAAGTCCACAGGAAACATGCATAGTGGAAACCCAGAAGACCATCCTAATGTAGCAATAATGGGTCGCGGGGGAGCCCAGAGTCATGCTGCCAACAAAGTCATGCAGCTCATCCTTTCTTCCCTGCTTCCTAGCCCTTTCCACCCATCTGGACCCTTCATCAGAAGACTACCCTCTCAAGCATAATTACAATCTTGCTGGCCACCCTACCTTGACTATGTGTCTCCTTCTTTCGTGCAATTGAAAGACTCCCCTCCTTAGCAATGAGAGAACACATTGGCACCTCTTACTAATGGGGCCGAAAGACTTTGGTCTGAAAAAATTAGGGTCATGTTACTGTGACAAAATATAGAGGTTAGTAGCAACTTACTCCTGGATTACTTCTGTAGTCATTTTTTATAAAGGGCCCCTAAATATGATTGACCCACAATTTGTGATAGAAGTTGTAGCAAAATCTTCAGATCTCCATGATTGGGCATTTTATTTATTTTTTTAAGATTTTGTTTATTTATTTGACAGAGAGAGAGCACAAGCAGGAGGAGGGGCAGGCAGAGGGAGAAGCAGAGTCCCCCACTGATCAGGGAGCCCGACATGGGGCTCCATCCCAGGACTCTGGGATCATGACCTGAGCCGAAAGCACCCACTTAACTGACTGAGCCACCCAGGCTCCCCTCGATTGGGCATTTTAAATAACACAGCTATTTCATGGCTTGCAAGCTGGTAGGCCTTCTCTCGTGGTTTCAGCACCCCATACCAGCACATGTGGCTGAGGTCAGTGACCTACTTTGTTGAACCAATAACAGCAAAAGAAGAGCCACCCTAGTTGGTGCTCATAAACGATTTTAGACGGTACATATAAAAAGCAGAGTCTGTCTGTCTTGATGTTTCCAATGAACTGATGCCTCTGCACTAATTACTCTGCTTTCATTCCTCCTGCAGCCCCACATCCTTCCCAATGGATCCATCTGTTCTCACTACCCATGTGTTGTACATAACAGGTATAACAGGACCAGAGTTAGAGGTGTGCCACCAGAAGGGTTCTTAGGGTCTAATTCAACCCTCTCCCCTTACAGATAAGAAAACGGGACCTTAGAGATATCGAATGACTTGCCCAAAGTTTCACACAGTAGTTAGTGGTAGTCCAGGTCTTCCAACTCCTAGGCCACTCCTCTTCCCATTCAACAAGGTTTCTCCATACCTATATTTCTGTATTAACAAGTACGGTGTGGACCCCCTGAGAACCAAATGTGATAGTTCAGACCAGTGAGTGTTGAGTGCCTCCTATGTGAAAGCAATCTGAAAAATAGCTAAGACTCTATACATGAAAAAAAAAAAAAGCCTTTTTTATGAGCAACATACAGCATGAATTGCTCAATACCACGAAGCATTTCCCAAGCACCCGCGAGGTACCAGGAGCTGTTCTAGGATTGAGCCCTAAGCAGATAAGGCAGACAATGCTGCTTTGGTGGAGTTTGTGGTTTTTTTCTGGGGGAGATAACACAGTGCAGAGAATTTCAGGAACACAGCTCCCTCATTTTACAGATGAGGAGAGATTTGGCCAGAATATGGCACGCTAGTGGCAGAATCGACTAGAATCCAGATCCCCAGCTACTGTTCAAGTGCTCTCTCAACCCCTACACAATGCTCCAACATTTCATATTTTTTCTGCTACACTCAGCTCCTCCTTTTTGAAATCTGTGCGCTGAGCAATGTTCTCAGAACAAACCAGTATGTAGGTAAATGGCCAAAGAGTTTGACCTTCTGCCCTTATTAGTAATACAAAATTGAGGGAGAAGGTTTAAACATTAAGACTCTGACCTATCTATTAGGTGACATACTATTTAACAAACCACATAAAGAACCCAGCTTGAGAGGGAAAACAAACCATGGAAGCTTACATCTGCTCTGGAAGAAAATCATCATCACTGATCCTCCTAGTTTTTAATCCCAAAAATGATGACAGTAACACCTTCAACATAATTGTGTTGTGTTGTGTTGTGTTGTGTTGTGTTGTGTTGTGGGCAGGAAATGTGTCTGTTGAGTTGGCTGACATATTTTAATAAACCCATGAAAACCATAGATGATGGCCAATATTGCTTCCCAAAATGTTTTTCATAATATTAGTAAGGGTAAAATTGAACCTCTTTGTACCAAACTTTGGACTACGTAGTAATTAGATTTGGGGGGATTGTAAGGTGGCAAGTGTCTCATTCAGGCTGTTTCCAGAATGGAGTTGTATTGAAAGGTTACATACATATGGCAGCAGGGAGACAAAACTCTCTCTGGGAACCAGAACAGCCACTCAGCCAGCCTCATGGAGATGGAATACTGTCAAGTATTGGTAGGAGCATGTTGTCCCCACCCCAGCCCTGCAATTCCCCTCAGACATTCTGACACTTTCCTCACTGTCTCAATTTCCTTTTGAGGTATTTTCACGTATCCACCCACTACCAGCTGACTGGTTCTCTCCCCATGTGTCATATTCAGATTCCTGAGAGGGAGTCTGAATGGTCCAGCTGATCATCATTGCTTCTGACTGGGAGCTCCCTGGAAGTGGCCCTCTTAATTTACAATCAGCCTCTGGACCGACTGCCCGGGGGTCCCATCCCCACCCTTGGTCCATTCAGCTATGCCTGGCTTGGTCATGGGGTACAGACTTGGTCACATATGTCTGCTCCCTCAGCGAGAAGCTGTGGGCAGGGTATTATCCTCTAGGCCACAAGGCATAGCATGCACCATGAGTGACCAATACAGGAGAGATTAATCCAGAAAAATATGATTTTGTGAAGTTAAAGAATATTTTAATGAAAATACAATTTCATTTCTTTGAAGTTTATGCAGCAATTCACATAAAGCTAAAAACCCCAATAGTCAAGATCCATAAGGAACCACGTAAAAGAATAGATAAAACTATTTGTGATGAGCATATTGTAGTCAATTACTCAATTCAACAAGTATTATTTGAAGATTTAAACTCATTTACTTATATGTCCTGGGTTGTATAATTGGAGAGGTGCTAATTCTCTTAAGTCTTTTAGATAATCCTCTTCTGATTTTTATTTATTTATCCAAAAGGAAGGGTATTGGTGAAAACCGTTATTATAAAATATCTCCTTGGTGGGGCACCTGGGTGGCTCAGTAAGTCTGCCTTTGGCTCAGGTCATAGTCTCAGGGTCCTGAGATCAGGCCCCAAGTCAAGCTCCCTGCTCAGCAGGGAGTCTGCTTCTCCCTCTGCTCCTCCCCCTGCTCGTGCTCTCTTTCTCTCTCCCTCCCTCCCTCCCTCTCTCTAATAAAGAAATAAAATCTTTAAAAAAATAAAATAAAATATCTCCCTGGAGTAATGTGGCCACATTAGCTCAGTTAGAGCATGATGCTAATAAAATACCTGTAGGGCTAACATATCCTTCATCTTGATGATTTTTTCCTGACCCTAAAGACCACCAAAGATTTATTTCTCTCGACATTAAATTTCATGCTCTCCCCATAAGCTTAAAAGGCCTTGCAGATATCATGCCTTATTTCAAGCTGTGGTCTGGTCAGGCTAAAATTTTCTCACTCTCTCTACCATTATTCTTTCTCTCTTCTTTTAAACAAATGATCCCTTTTCCCAGGATTATATCCACTTCAGATCGGCCAGATTCATGCTTTGTTGTCCTTCTTTTTCCTCTTTCCACAATCAGTTCCAAATCTACCTTTTCCCAGAAATTTTCTCTGATGACATAAGGACCCCACGTTGTCACACACCAAGCCCTTAAGTTATAGCAGAATGAGGTTTTCTTTTTTCCCCTCAAGCTCAGATGGTAAAGACGATACTTCTAGAGCCTCTTCCTCAGATTAAGCCTAATCATCTATTTTAAAAGCACATAATTAATGAGCAATAAATTCAAAAATCTATTTGTGCTTCCTTTGGTACAAAAGCCTCTGTATTTTTCATGTAAAGAAGGCGCTTCTCAGTTAACATTCAACAGGGCCAATTGTGAAGACCTTGACTTCTGAGAAGACATGCTTGAGGTCGCTGTAAAGACTTCTCCTTGGAGTCGTTGAAAATGTCTTCGTGGCTCAGGCCAGTTCTAAGCTGTTGGTCTCCTGTGGGAAATCATATTTGCTGCTCTTCACAGATAGATGAGTTAGAATTAAGTTTACATTTTAACACGTATCAGAACTTATTTATTCAAAGGACTTCAACATGGAAGACTCAGGAAGCAGAAGGATGCATCTATTGCTGACAACATTATTAGAATCCCTTTCCTGGAACTGCCTTCAGGAAAGTCTCAAGAAAATCAGTGGGATTGGATTACAGTGATGGTCCAGTTATCAGATTTGGGAGGTGAGTTGAATGATGAATTTCCAATATTGATCTCACCCATCACTCAAAGAACACCAAGTGCACTCTGAAAATGCCATTGGATATCTTTCTGGATTTTTCTAAAGATGGTGGAACTATTAGAACTTGAACCACATTCAGTAAGTGGTTAAATCAAGTCTGGGTTTGCAAAAGTTGTACCAGATTGCCAACAGGTTGAGTCTTCCAGGTAGGCTTTTTTTTTTCTTTTTTAATGTGAAAAGTAAGAGGATTTTATTGACTTTTATATGTTCTTAGAGAAAACCATTCACGTGTAAAAGTTTGACATTTGATAGGAGATATATTCACACTTTATTTTACACATAAATTCTTTTATTTGGGGTCAGACATAATTTTTCATTTCAACAGGACTTTTACATGATTATAGTCCCAAGCTCTTGAGATAATTGCATCATCATAGGGTTCAAGATAAACTAAACTGGTAGGGATTTCAGTCATATCCGTTATTGTCCAATTACTATAGCATAATGGAGTACATGCTGTAAGCAGATACAGAGGAAGCTAGCCATAAAAAAAGGCATAAAACACAGGTAAAGAAAATATACAAATTATAGTATTGCATATATATTTTAATTTATGGAACTGACATTTTTAACTCACTAACATGTTCTTTTATGTGATATAAATTCACCAAGGGAGCC